AACAACATACAGGTAATAACTATAAAATTTGCCCAATACTTAGTAAAGTTATTAAAAAGATAGAAAAATAGATAACTGAATAGATAGAATATAGTACTTCTACCAATCATATTTTAAGTTATTTAATCTAGGTGAGTTTTAACCACTCTAGTAGGTTTAGATTGCAAATAAATTAGATTTAATAATCTATAGTCTGAGTCTCATTCTTGTAAAAATTTGTAAACCGGCTTTAGCCAGTGATATTCCTAGTGGCTATCCAATACAAATAAATAAAAATAAAGGCAAAACCTCACCTTAAAAAAAAAAAAAAAAATTAATTTATATATTATTAAGGGTATTTATTTTTGGTGCGGGTACACCGTGTGTAGGGTTTGCTTATTCAAACAAATTAAATAACCTGTATAATTGTGTAATAATAACAAATAATATTAGATATTATACAAACCACATAATATGCTATATCACCATCTATTACATGAGGATCTATAGTGACTTATCCAATAGCAAGCCTCACTTTGATATAATGTTATACAGTCAGGAAGATCAAAACAAAATATTCATTTTTTAAGAATCGTTTATTTCTCAAAATTTTGCATAAGAAACAATCTAACAAAAAAGCTTTCTTGAGCAATTTTACTATGTTCTTCACTAATATCCAACTCCATCGTAAGCACTAACCTTGTGTGCCAAAATACTGTTATGTGAAAGTGAAAATTTTGACGGTGATACTAGGAAAGATGATTTAATATGAAACTACTATATAAGACATGTTATATTTGTATAATCAAACCAACTAACCATTCGCTAAAACTATATATTGGGGCAAATTAAATATGTATCAAGTTTAAATAGCAAATATTTGATATACAAACCAACCCTCACCTTAACACAAAACCTATGACTACTTTTTTAGTTACATGTTGACACTTTTGCTGTACATACATATATACATACTATGGTATTATGTTAGTATGATTAACTGACTTGCATACAGTACAATTTGCAATAACCTTTTTCATAAAATAAAATCGGTTGCCATTTGATCTAATCAAAGAGAGAAAATAAGCAAATTTGCTATGATAATCAGCTTTCAACCATTACTAATTTACAACTGTAATTCTAGTTGATTATAAAGTTGTACATATGATAGTTATTAATATAATCGAATCACATTAATAATACTGATAATGTATATTTAGTCACAAAACACAATTACGAAGCTATTTACAATTACAATTCATTTTCAAAATGCCAGATCAAATATCCTAGTCTTCCGAACTAGCCATAGTAAAGATTTCATTAAGTTATAGCTTACTCATATAAAAAAAATGTTCTTGCGATTGTTATTTATATTAAGTATTAATTCACACCACCTAATTAACTAACATACATACTTAGATCAATAGATCTGATTGTTTGCATTTAATAAAATAAAAAATAAACATAATAAGAATTAATTGTACTACTATAAAGCAAATTGAGATTCAATAATTTGCATATAAATAAAACTTACTAAAATCTATCCTCAAACCACCAACTATTCCACACAATCTGTTCCAGCTTCTGATTCAGAATCACAGGAGCTTACCCATTCATTTTTATCATTAGTATCTCGGTCTGATTCATTTATCTTCATAAACTTATTATTATGCATTTCCTTTTTATGATCATGACCACCACATAATTCACAAATAGTTGTCAAATCGCTAACTCTATTTTCATTTTGGCATGCTACCAACAATTATGATCTTTATCACCACATTTGCTGCATGTATTAGTTCCAGGGCCACATGCACCTTTTGGTCATTTTCTTAGATTTTTTGATTGTTGATTTTCTAATGATGACTTAAGATGTATAGATTTTGGTAGTCGACCTTTTCTAGTTTTTTTAATAGGGTTAGAAACTATAATGGAAGGCCTTTCAGAGATAGTACTTAATTCAGAATGTTCTTCAAAGATATTTGTTTCTTGGCCAAGGGAAGATTCACCGGTTGTATTTTCAATAAAAGAATGTTCATTTTGAACTATATATTCTTTCAAAAACTTAAAAATACACGAATTATCTTTTTCAATAGCAATGTTAATTGCTTTACGTGCAATTTCAATAGTCTTAGCGTAGATTTTTTTTTTTTGAATTACCATATATTGCCAAAAATAAGCTATTTCTGAAAATAAGCTACCTTCTTTTTTTTGAAAAAAACTGTAAAAACGTCTTATACCTGAAAATAAGCTACTATACAATCGTCAGTAGTTACTTTATAGTAAAGTCAAATTTTACTAAATAAATCGATATAGCTTATTAAGTAAAAGTTGTTCAGGAGATCAAAATACATATATTTTGAAAGTTTTATCCAAATTGGATAACTTTTTATTAATACATTTT